CAAAGGAAAATTACAATGTGTCTCGTGGCTCACTAAGTACAAACACTGGAAGGGAGATATCATTACCCAGGCCTCATTTATTTCTTCAAGGATTCCTGTGAGTGGCTGTTTACTGGTTGTATGCGAATAAATACTCACCTGGCAGAGAATTTCCAAGGACTATTAGTATTTGGAGTTGACAGTCTGGGTGAAATGTTTTTTTTTTTGTTTTTTTTAAGGCACACATATTTTTCTCACCTTTTGATATTCTGGTGACGTACTGTGAGCTTCTGTGTCAGTAGCAATCATGCTGTGGATTTTTTGTGTCAAAAGCTTAGCAACCCTTTTGTGCCAGCCTGGTGATATTTCTCCCTCAAGCAGGATATATTGTCATTATAACTACAGTATATCCACACGAAGCTGTCACGTGAATTCCTTTTAATGAATCCAAGGCTGTCACAATGTACTCTATGTGGTAATCAGGGGGGATTGTGTTGGGGGCTGCATGTTCTGTTATGAGCAGCTAAACTGTTCCTGCAGCTTACTACTGAAGGGAATATGGCCCTGTATCTTTCACGCAAATGTGACCGCTGGACCGGTTGTGTTCATTCGTCACAAACAGCCAATGCCCCGACTGTACATTAGCTAGCTAACCAGCTAGCAATGGTGCACTGACTAAACTCACGAGAAGTGTTTCCACCCAGTTGTCTTCTTATTCCTCTGGTTTTTGATGCAGATTCATATTCGGGATATGTATAATTTTATGAAGCTGAAAAGTGAATTGCATCACCTTGTGTATGTAATTTTGCTTATAATTGCAACTTTCTATTGACTTTTTAATTTAATTTTCTTTGGTTTTGTAAACATTTTCATTTTTTATCTTAAAGGACCAGTGTGGGGATTTAGTGGCATCTAGCGGTGAAGTTGCAGACTACAACCATTTGAATACAGCGCAGCTTTCCAAGTGTGTAGGGGGCCTGTAGGGGGAGCTTGAAAGACCCTATCTTAAGCCAGTGTTGGTCTGTTCTGGTCTATTGTAGAAACATAGTGATTCAACATGGCGGCTTATTCTAAGGTAATGAAAATACAACCATTCTGACTTTCAGGGAATTATACACTAATGAAAATGTGCAATACTTTATTCCATTTCTGCCATTAAATCCTCCTAAATGTTACACACTGGACCTTTAAGTGATTGTGCACCTCTCACACAAGGATACCACCTTCCCTTTCATGGTTCACTATTCTTCTCAACACAAAACTGTGAGAGGGTTGAGAGCAGTGATGCCACTCTCTACATGATCATGTATTATTTTTTAATTCAACCCTGCTTTAGCCACAAAAATGACATGTTCATCATTTATCTAACATCATAATGGCCAAGAAGAGAACATAATGACAGATATTGATGATAAGATTAAATTACCCTTATATAAATGCAGTAAATGTCAGTTTATGACTTAAACTAACTGCACTAAAGCTGCAGTGGTAGCATGTGGCAGGTACAGTGACCATTACTTAATCCACATGAGTCCACCTAAGTTGCAGAGTTAAAAAAACCAGGGCATTTCATTATTCATGGGGTTACCGACGTAGGATATTACTTATACATTAGAGTCTTAGCTTGTTCTTTTTCAGCTACGAACATTTCATTATTTAAGAAGACAAGTGCAGAGCAGTGCAGAGACCTATGGTAATGTTTTAAAGATCACAGGAATTAGTTAGTTTTTATCAGCTCTAAATATTAATTTCTCTCAGCATGCACTGATTTTAGGTTTAACACTGCTGGACATCAAAAGAAAATTATTTTGATACTTTAAAAACAACCTCCTCAGACACACACATTTTTGGAGGAATGGTTTTTGCTATTAGAGCAATACCACAGCACATCAAACAATTGTTTAGCACTCTATTAGTACCTCATATTTTGTTGTGATCAGGCCATTTAAGGAAACCAGTACAATCCATTAAGAGTCCAGTACACTGGTCTTAAAGGACTATATTGTTCTTCTTCATATCATAGATGAATCAATCTTTTGTTTTCTTATATCACTTGACAGTGCAGATGTCACTGTATTTGATAACGGCAGAAGAAACTTTGTGGAATCAGAGGAAACCTATTCCTCAGGGCGCAGAGTGCCATCCTAACACGGCATTGGCAGCTGTTTGGGATTAGCCAGAGGATTTCAGTAGACCCAGATATGACCCTTACAAACGCATGCACACACACACAGTATTACATACTTGTTTATACTGCCAGCCTGCCAGACCCAACTGTTTCTATGGACATTTTCAGAACATGCAATAAAGGCTGATAGAAGAAGATTATTCAAGAATTTCTTGACGTTGTGGGACTTGGCTTCTGTTTCTACTACAGACGAAACATTCATGTCTCGCTGCCACTAACTGTTAATGCCTTTGATCCACCAGAAAGTCTGAAAAACCAGAGTCTCCTCTCAGTCTCCTACAGATGATAAATCCACCACAGAGTACACTTGGGATCAGAGATGTATGTCTCTGCGAAATGGTATTTAAGGTACAAAGCAGTAATGGAATTTATTAATATATATCAGAGTTACTAGTGCTCGATTGTGAAATGGCAAGTTTCTTGAAAAATGTTCATTGAGAAAGTAATTCCATCTTTTGTTTTTAGCAAAAGAAGCCACCCTTGTAAACTGCAGATGTAACAATACAGTTTCTATAGGAAACCTCTGGGCCTTGTCTCTCACGCAGCACTTGCGTCTTTGTTACTTTGGACAAAAACATCCATTACTAAAATATTGGACAAAGTAAAATTTGGACCAGATGATGGTGCCAGATGAAAGGTCAGTGGATCACCAAAGTTATTACAATTTGTCCTGAGGGAGACATGAATGTCTGTACCCAATTTCGCAGCAATCCTTCTTATAGTTGCAGAGACATCTCACTCTAAAGCTCAAATGTCAACCCGCTGCGCTAGAAGAAAGTCAGGGGATCTCCAAAGTCATTAGGATTCATTGTCTGAGAACCATTAATATCTCTACGAAATTTCATTACAATCCATTCAGTAGCGATATGGAGATATTTGCCTGTGGACTAAAGTGATAGACGGACCATTTGACTTGACGTTGCCAAAATAACTGTGGGGTGAGGGAAGACTGAACTAAGCTGCAGGTCTGATTTAAAGGTTTACTTTGTTGTATCTGGTGGCTAACTGTACTGAAGCAGGCTATAGTGGTCGAGTTTTTCATATGATTATATACTTTATCACATGTCTACCACTGCAAGCAGAAGCAGCTCTTGTTGATAACATAACATGGTTAGTGATCTCCTGTGTCACAACCCGGCTCAAGGCTGAACGAAGAAGGGAAGAACACACATAAGTTGTAACTAAAAATTGGTTTATTTTACATAACTAAAAGAGAAATGAAGCTAAAACCAAACTAAATTCAACCCAACCAAACAGGGTGGAAGCCAAGGAAGAGAGGGAGAGAGGGAGGGGGAGATGCTGATGGTCCGACTCCACCCACCAGGCTCTTGGAGGGTCGTCACCAAACAATGCTGCACCACTTTCCCATTGTCAAGTTTTTTATGATGTTGCTTGCTTTGCTGTGTGGTTTTTACTCTACTGCTGGTCCACATTTGTCACTGCTTCATCCTGATTTTTGGTTTCTTTCCTGTCAAAAAAATGCTATGTTTACTCACCTAGAACACATCATATACACATTATGTATAATGTCAATCAGACTATGAACAGATCCTCTTGATGTTTATTTCTGCTGATAACCGTGTGTCACGTTGAAATAATTGTTGAGACCTTTACTCTCCAGTGACTCACTCACACAGGCAATGGGACTACTCTAACCTGTTAACATGGGCACATATATAAAACAAGAGGATCAGCAACGCACACACACTGTACTGTAAAAAGAAAAGAAAAGAGAAAACTTTCAAGCACCTAAATAATGAAAAGTATAATTTACTCTATAATTAAATGAATTAACATTTAAGTTTAGCAGGCAAAACAAATCTATTTCATATTTAAATATATATAATTTAATATTTTCAACTGCAACTATTTAATTTTCAAGCACCTAAATAATGAAAAAAACAGTAAGTTAAAAAGTAAAATACAGAATTTTCAGTTTTTCTAAAGAAGAAAAGTAAATTATTTCAACACAAGATTAGAGGTCAACAAAACTTTACTTAAAAAGTCTGACTTAAAAATTTAGTTTTCACTGATTCTTCATTTACAGTGTGCACCCATAGACAGTGTGTCCCGGCTGTAATGCTGACGGGTAAAACACAAATAAGGGAGACACTTAACTATTGTGTTAATTACTGGACTTGCTGTATTGGAGAGGTTGAAGATTAAGTGCTCAAAGTAATATTGTCAGTCGCTGGTGATGTCTCCATGATGTCTTTTTTTTTTACTATTTATCTGTTCAGATTCGTATTAATAGGAGAAAAACACATTTCCTGCGGTCACACTCATTAGTTGCTGTTTTGTATTCTATGTGCTTATACATGCGTGTAAGATTACGAGTATTTGTGCATGCTGTTGTGTTGACGCAAAGCTATTTGTGACAATCCCCCATACCATGACACTCAAGGTGGGCTACATTTCTGAATGCTTGGCTCTGACACAAAAACAAACAAAGCTGTCACGTCCAAGCAATTCAGCTCTGTACAAAAGATGTTTTCCTGGCGGTGCCACACAATGCTCCTCTCGTCAATACAGAACATGCTGTGTTACCTAGAAGATGAAAAATATAGGCCCTTCTCTTTGTGTCTGTCTGTACGTGAAATTTCTCTTTAAATTCTCACAGTTAATCACATTACATCAAAGTTGCACGCACTTGAGCCTGGTTGACTGTCTGCTGCATTGTTACCGTTATTTAATTTGAGTGAACAATTGGGCTTGGAAAGTATTGCAATTCTAAATAGAGTAGGGATGGCAGCTTCGGCGAGTTATTTTGCTTTGAAGTTTTTCCGCTTTCTAAAATAAATTTCCTCTTTGTTCCCTCTGTTTCCATACACAGACTCTGAAGTCATCTACAGAAACAGTGACGGCCATGTCATCAAGTTCAACATCCTTACAAATGAAACGGAGATTGTCCTGACAAACACAACATTTGTAAGTACAGTCTGCCATACTATAAATTAATGATTAGGATTCATCACAATATCAGTGTCATCATAATGATTGTCTTTACCTCTCTGTCTTTCTTTCTTTCTCATTTTCACTAGATAAATTTCAATGTGGCCAAGTATTCTGTCTCCCCTGATATGAAATATGTACTCTTCGCATATGATGTGAAACAGGTAAGTTTCCTAATAACACCAGTGCCATGAATGTGGTGTCATTCTGTGACTTAAACTATGCCTGTAAGACACTGTTGTATTGAGTATTGTAGTGTGAGCACACAGTGGGCTCGGTTTGCCACTGGTGGGAAAAAGCTCAGATCCTTTTCTTAAGTAAAAGCACAAAAGTACTACTACTCATGCAGAGTAATAAGCTAGCATATTATAATAAAAAAAAAAACAGAATGACTGACAGCTTCCAGTATGAGGAGATCAACATGAGGAGTTGTTTTGTGCCTTAAACAAACAAACACAAAAAATGAGTGCAAAATGTTCAATTACCCAAGGATTCCTCTCATAGTGCAAAATCCGCTATCAGCTCCAGCAACATAGCCAAAGCTACGGATAGTGCAAACTACTGTTGGTAGATAGATAGATTCTTTATTGTCCTTTTCAGGAAGTTTGTTGCCACAGTCTGTACATACACGTATACATACAACATTACCACAGAGGACATTTGAACACAGCACGGACATCTGAACACAACACAGGTAATTACACATAACGGCTATCGGGGAGTTTTGTTGAGTAATGCCTTGCAGGAGGGACAAAACTTCTGCCATAGCGAGCTTGTTGATGGATAGTTTTGCACAGAACCTGGTGAGGAAGAAACTCTCGTTTTAAGGTAAGACAGCTGACACTGTTAGGGGCCGATCACACAGAGACGCCCCGCAACAGGCGTGGCCGCTTCCAAAACGCCTTGGCAAAGAGCGGCTGGTGCGCCTGTGGAGCGGAGCTGCAGGCACAACTGGGCGATCACATATTATCACATAGAAAAGTGGATTCAAGAAGACCTATTTACTGGCATAGTAAACGGCATTAACACTGTAAAAAATAAAGTAAGACAAACTGAACCTTTTAAATTTTGCTTTTGAGTTTCAGTTTTAAGTTCCTTAAACTCCACTTCAAGTTGTAGTAACTTATAATTTCATATTGTGGCCACTAAGAATCCTTCCTTCTGTTAATTCAGCTCCAAATTTTTGTAACTTACTATTTCACATTGTAACAACTTTGAATTATAGTAGTTATATATATATGTATTAATAATTAATATCATTCCTGTCACTCACATCTTGCATTTACTTGGTTGTAAGAAATGGCACCCCTGGGTTATAAAGACAAACCCCTGCTTAAAAAAATTGTCAGGATTGAATAAACATCTACACCACAGTCCTCCAGTGCTTGATCAAATTTGACGAGGGCCCAGGTTAGGGGGCGATTAAAATTCCATTGTGGCCCCTGTGCAACTGGCAGGTCACATTCATTCACTAATAGAGAAGCGGGGTAAGCTTGAACCATAATTACCAGCTTTCCATCAGAAAAGAGTAGATGCAAAATGAGATATGCAAATTGCACCCTCCACTCTGGAAGGGATCAACTGTAAGGATTAGTGACAAGGCGATTAATCAGAACTGATTTGCATATTTTGCATGAAGCGTTAGGCTTACAATTTGGAACAATATGGCCAATAGCTACAAACCCAGTTTATTTTTAACACAAGTTTATATTGAAGGAAGAATTTAATAGAAATTTTTTAAAGCTTTAATAATGAAAAAATAAAGAATGTGTAAAATTACAATTACCTTACAGGCTTAAGATACAATCATTTGTAATTAGAGGAGATATTTTGAGTATAAATCAGTTTAATTGTTAGAAGAACAAAGAGCTTTAATCAGAGAAAGAGAAAACAAAAGAGCTGTAATATCGCCATCGCCCACCACCAGACTCCAGAGACAAAAAAACACTATCTTCACCTTGCAGATCATTGCAACATCATCACATAATTCAACGTGAACAGAGACAAAATAAAACTCACCAAGACCATCTTTGTTAGTCTTTCTAACAATTAATTTGGTTAAAATAAATCCTTAATTCACGACGCGGATGAGAACAGCAGTTTCAGTTGCTCTACCTAGCCTCTACAAAGCAGACCGGCTTGTAAACAAACCACAGAGAAGCTGTGATAGCAACACTGCTCAGGACACCATGACTCCACTATATCTTTACAAAGCTAAAGGTTGTTTGGTGCTATATTAATTTAGTTTAGTTAATATCTCATATGACCTTAATTCACCTTTTAAAACTGTGATTTTACTGACTCTTTCCATTATGTGATGGAAAGAGTCAGTCCTGTGTTTAAGACTCAAGGCTTAAGTTGGACTCAATCCAAAACAAAGCAGCTCGGGCTTCTACATTACATTAGTATATCGATTTCACTACAGTGGAATGCTACCCATTCTTTACTGTATGTATTTATGTAACTGTTGCTTTGCTGTCCACCTGGCAGCACGGTGTGAAACAACAGCCTTGAGCTTGACACCTCTGTGATTAAGAGTAATAACAGGAGTTCCTCCAAGAAAAATAAATTACTTTTCTAATAGGTTCATCTCTGGTGCACTGAATGAAATAAAACATTCATTAATGTTTTTTGCCCATTTCCAGCACCTTGGCAGAGATGTTACAGTGAGACAGAGTTACTTGTTTTTTTTACATTTAATAGTTTTGGTTCAGATGTTACAATATGTTTTGTTATATTTCTAACAAGTTATGAAGAAATAAGAGTGCAAAATGTTCTGGATTTGTGACCACAAAATAGTTTCCTTGTGCTTCAACTGCTCTACCAAAGATATAGAAATATAATGTCCATATACAGTATCTTTATTGTTCGTGTGCACATCCAAATCCACAGTGTATGTATGAAATTACAACACAATGTGGAAAACACTTGACCATGGGAAGAAACAGAGGAGTGGTACAGTGTGTCCAAGATAAAGAGACAGACTATCTTTGGCAGGCTCAGCTGATGGAGGAGAGGAGGCAGATAATCACCTGGAAGGCAGGAGGCTCGATCAGGCTCACAGGCCTCAGGTAGTGGGACATCAGTCAGGAGCAGGGACAGATCACTGCCTCTTTTTTGGTTGCGTCTTATGATGGTACATCTGTTTTTGTCTACCATAAAACACAAATATAAAGAAAAACGTCAGTGGCTTTTGTAAATAGAATTTCTTCTCACATTTCAAACGTACGTGGTTCAGATGAAAGCGAGGTGTTTAAAGAAAGAGACAGGCATTATTTTATATTTTTAGTACTGTTAAGAAATCACATAAAAAGACCTAACAATGTCTTTTCTCTCAATACTTTTTGACTACCCTGTCTGGCTGTGGCATAATTCCTGCTGAAGATGTAACTTTTAAAACTGGCCTCAAATATATATGATTTTATTTTTAGAAAAGGTGTGCTGAGCACTGTGGTTTTTAAGAAATGTTACTCAAACAGGAGTACACTGTGCATTACACATCTGGTGCTGTATTTACAGCAGCAGGACAGTGTATGAGGGTTGTGAGCTTATGGGGATGCACAGAAACTGGGCCAGTCTCACACAGACTTTAAACGTCACCTGTGACATCACTGTAAATGTGTGAGTGCAGGAAGGTGTGTGGGCACCTGACACTGTGAGATATGAGACCCGGACAAAGATATTCTGTAGACAGTGTGTGAAGTGTGAAGTTGATATTTCAGAGTAGATGCAGCATAATAAAGTGGAGTGATGTACACTTAAAATAAGGTCTGTTGTACCAAAAACCTAAATCGAAGTCACCGTCATAAGACAAACAAATACACACACAGTGGTGGTGAACAACATGTGTACTTTGCTGCTGCCTCCTACCTGTTTGGTTTGCTGCTATTTTTTTCAATGCACAATTCTACTGACATTAAACTACACAACGTTGTGTATCATTGGTTTTTCCCTTGAGCAAAGTCTATAAAGTTGTGTTCTGCAAAGTATGCAAAAAGGGCTCAAACCAGACACCAGACACTTGCTGATTTCATAGTGGGACAGACCCGTGGGTGTATTAATGGAGGTGGATATGGCAGTGGCACTCAACCTTGCTGCCAATTTCTCCCAGTGGCCAACAGCTATATTGCAACAAAAAAAATCCCCTGCGGCCCAAAATACATTTTCCCATAGAGCGCCATTATAAAAGAGACATCTGTAAAACTGCTGATAGGACACCTCAACCTCCAAGCAAGGTCCGTTATTACTCTATGTATTGTGAATTTTTACTCCATGAAAGTTTCCTATTTGTATCCCAGAGACCAGAGAAATGATTTTAAAATGCACAACATCCCAATCTAAATTTTATGGGTTGAGTGTCATATGCACGATGCTGAACAACACAGAAACCTTATGCTCTGAGAGTGTGGTATCGACCCAGCCAACATCTGTATTTGGGATCCATGTTGGTATTAAGTGGGATGAAATATGGCCCCATGTCAATTGTCCACTTTTGCTTTAGGTATGATTACACTGGGTGTTAGGTGGGACCCAACTAGACATTTGGCAACCCAGATGGGGCCCATTTGTGTTGCTTAGGCTCTCATTTCCAATAAGTGACCCAACTAGGACTCGCATAGAGAGCCCACATGGGTTCGCCCATCCATGAACAGCCCTGTGAGTACATATGGGACATTTGAACTGGGCCATTGACTCAGAATGAACTGAAGTGTGTGTGTGTTCATGGTGAAGAAGGAATATGTCACCCAGTGCAACAGGGTGTTTTTAATGGTTTTTGGACAACTATAGAGCTCCATGGCACAGAGATATAAGATATAGCAGGCTCTGGATACACACACAGACCTACCATTAGATAATATAAATACCTGTTTAGGGGCTTTCCCTGTTTAAACGCAATGCATATTGGGACACATTCCAGCTGAAAATAAGTTTACAATTTAAAGTTGTTGTGTTAACGAATCTCTAACTCTAACTAATGTTGACAGTTCAGCTATGAATATGCACAGTTGAGCTTCTCTGATGACACCTGTGACATGTGTGACATGTTCATGATGTCTTTGTAATTACGATGTTTCAGTACTGTCTGTACGGACGCTGCTGACAGCAGTGAAAATCGCTGACAACAGTATGTTACTTATGAATAAGGCTTAGCCAGAGATACAAA